TTTAGAAAACCCCTTCATAAGTTCCTTGAGGTGTCCAGGCTGTTTACACAACTCTGCCCTGTCTGAGCAAGAGCATCCGCTCACACCTACACCCCGCTGGCGACCAAGGACAGCGCTGTCTGGGCACAGCCTTGGGCCTGCCCATCTAACAAACTGCAAATCGGAAATGGAGCAAGCTTTCCCTGGAGATCCTGGTTCTGGGAATTTCAGATTCGCATGAGCCTGGCAGGAGGTGATGTGTTGGCAGGAAGATATAGTGTCTGTGGGGTGTGTGAGTGTGTGTGTGTGTCTGTGTGTGTGTGTGTGTGCGCGCGCGCATATGTGCACCTGTGCAGGCACATGCAATGTGTGCATGTCATGCACAAGGGTGTGTGCAAGCACATGTGTTTGCCTGTGTGTGCTGGCGTGTGTGTATGTGTAGGGATGGACGTGTACGTGTGCATGCATGAGGTGTGCACAGGGGCCACACACACATGCAGATGCACACACATGGGCATGCATATATGGTTATGCGTTGGGGCCTGAATGTATGGGCACACATGTGGATGCACGTAGGTAGTGAAAGAGCTGGCAGTAGGAGGTATTTCAGATCTTAGTACTTTACACTAGGGCCTCACTTTCAAGACCCCCTGAGTGCAGTGAGCCCCATCTTCATCACTCTGGCCCTGGGATGAGCAGTGTCAGGCCCAGTCAACCACAGTGCCAGGGCTGAAAGCAGCCAGAGGAGGAAGTGCTCTGGGCAGGTAAGGACTCAGGGGGAAGACTGAGAGAGAAGACATCTCAGCGCAGATTGAGAAGCAGAGTAACTGAGTTAAATTCCTATCTCTTAAGCAGACTCATCAAATACGTGCTCTCTCATAGAGGGATGATTCGCTCAGTGTGGTTGTTAGGCTGTCACAAATGCCTGGGAGAAGGCTTCCCGTTCCCTCAGGGAACAGCAAAGGAAGGAAGTTCTCACGTCTCTGGCCCCAGAAGATTCACAGCCAGAAGGGAGGAATCAAGCTGAACGCCATCTGATAAACGTGAATTCATCTAATCTTGAGGCAGGTCAAGGTGTCAGCAATGCCGACAGATGCTTCACACTCACAGGGGACTTTGTGTGTGGCAGAACCTGGGATGAGGGGTCCAGACAGTCCTCACCACCAGGATTCTTCCCACTGTATCTTAGGGTTTCCAATGACCTAGAGGCAAGGCCCCCTAGACCCTTGCTCGCGGCTCTGCTTGAGGCAGGTCTGGCTTGTGGGTGGCTAAATCACAACCCCTGATTGTGCTATCCACAAAATGCCCAAGACTTCTTCAACTTTGCAGACACAACCTCCCTTTTCTCTTTCCTCCTCTTCACCCCCACCCTATTTGGCTTTCCTGCAGGAAGCTTCAAGGCCGGGCAAAGATGCCTCTTTTCATCATTTGCAAAAACATTAGCAGCACTTTGCTCCACAGTGTTGATGCATCTGAGTCCTCTCTCTGTTCAGAGGGAGCTGGGGGTGAGCATCAGTGTGTGCTGGTGGGTGGCAAGTGGGCACACTCAGCTCTGAAGAGCCCTGCACAATGTGAACAGCTTGGTCTAACAGCGAAGTGCCACCAGGGTGAGAGCCAGAGTGAGGGACATGCTGGTTCCCTCTCCTGGTGCTGAGTAGCTAGTCTGCAGGTTCAGCACCAGCACTCAGGGACAGCTCCCTGATCACTTCCTTCCCACTCTGGTGACATCCTGCTAGATTCTGGCAGGGGCTGGGGGGAGGGGGGTTGGGGGACAGGGGATGTGCTATTCCCAGGTGGCACCTCATTAGTCCCTGTCACCTTCAAAATGAACCCTCCAGGTACTGTTCCTCTCTGAAGACACTTCAACTTTCCTAGGCCTACTGCAGACAGGTGCATCAGTCTAAAACAGTAACTCCAGCAGTGTGAATCACAAGGCATGGGAATAAAAACCTTCAAGCCACTAGGTCATTTAGTGACCTCCCAGCACGACCTGGTATCAGCCTCCTTCTCCCCATACTCCTATCTATATAGCTAGTCCTAATACCACCCTCTGATCAAGGTCACATGGAGCCCTACTTGAGTTACTGGCAGACTCCAAGTTCAGAGGAAAACTGAGAGGGTGAGTAGCTGCCCAGACCATGCTGACCTAAGATTGTCTATGGCTTTGTCCCCGCCAGCATCCTCTGCTCTCCAACACTCCTGTGCTACAGAGTATCAGCATTCGTGGCCAGGACAAAGTGCTGATCAGAGAGACATCTAGAACCAATTGACCATCAAGATGGCAGGCGAGTTCTGGACAGAAATCACATGTTGGCTTGAAAACCACCTCAGAGGGGCGCCTGGGTGGCTTAGTCGGTTAAAGCGTCCGACTTTCACTTAGGTCATGATCTCACGGTTCGTGGGTTCGAGCCCCGCGTCAGGCTCTGTGCTGACTGCCAGCTCAGAGCCTGGAGCCTGTTTCAGTCTGTGACTCCCTCTCTCTGGCCCTCCCCTGATCACGCTGTCTCTCTCTCTCTCTCTCCTAGAAATAAATAAAACATTTAAAAAAAAAAAAAAAAGAAAACCACCTCAGAGTAAGTTAATGGGCTTATGAAGAAAAGCCGATGTCTAGGCAACAACTCTGGGGCCTTCCTTAGTCGTACCCCGGGGCCAAGTTAGAACAGTCTCATCCAAATACAAGTGAGAAAGAGGAATAGAAATCCAACAACTTTAAATCCTTAACCATAAAGAGAAAAAGATCGATGAGTTTGATTACATTAAATTAAGGCCTTCTCTTCCTCTGGGGAAAGAAGGAAAGAAATGACAGAGACAAGTCACAAATTTGGTGAAGATTTTTAAACAGATATAGCTCACACAAAATTTATATCCATGATATGTAAGGAATGCTTACAACTCAATAAGGAAAAGATAAACAACCCCGCAGAAAGGTGAGCATGGGCATTTCATCAAGGGGAAAGAAGGACAAACATATGACAGAATTCTCGGCCTCATTACTTGTCAGGGAAATGCAAATTAAGAACATAACAGGATACCATGATACCACTTGACATCCTCAATTAGGAAGTCTGATTACACTACGTGTGGGTGAGAACACAACACTGGGAACCTCCAGTTGGCGGGGCTAAATCAGTTTCCATCACTTTGGAAAACGATTGGCATTATTTCACACACTATTTGTCCCCATGACTTTAGTCTATCCCAAAGAGAAACTCAGTCTATATCGCGACATAGGTGCCCCAGGTGACATGTATAAGAATGTCTACCACAGCATCACTCAAAGTAATTTACAAAAGCAGGAAAAAGATCTCCACAATCAGCAAAAACTGATAAATAATTAAGAACCATCCACATAAGGAAATACAGCAGTGAAAATGAAAAAAAAAAAAATAGAGCCACATAGAACAACATGGGTGAATCTCTGAAACATAGTAATGGGCAAAGAAAGCAAGTCTCAGATGTTACATACAGTAGATGCCATTTGCACAGAGCTCAAAGCAAATGAAAATAAAAGTAAACCATATGCTGTTTATGGATACATGAGCGTGTAAAAAATTAATTTGTTTTTTAAAAGCAAAGAAATGATAAATACAAATCCAAGTTGCAAGTTTCCTCTGGGGGGAGGCAGAGAGATCAGGGAGAGAAGGGGCACCGGGTGGACACTGAAGTCTTGGGAATACTCTTTCTTTCTCTTTCTTTCCTTCCTTCCTTCCTTCCTCCCTCCCTCCCTCTCTTTCTTTCTTTCTTTCTTTCTTTCTTTCTTTCTTTCTTTCTCTCTCTCTCTCTCTCTCTCTCTTTCTGTCTTTTAAATTAATACTTTAAAAATATTTTTTTTAATTTTTTTTAATGTTTTATTTATTTCTAGGAGAGAGAGAGAGAGAGACAGCGTGAGCAGGGGAGGGTCAGAGAGAGAGAGGGAGTCACAGACTGAAACAGGCTCCAGGCTCTGAGCTGGCAGTCAGCACAGAGCCCGACGCGGGGCTCGATCCCACGAACCGCGAGATCATGACCTAAGCGAAAGTCGGACGCTTAACCGACTAAGCCACCCAGGCGCCCCTAAAAATATTTTTAATGTTTTATTTTATTTTTGAGAGAGAGAGATGGGGGGAGGGGCAGAAAGAGAGAGGGAGACCCAGAATCCAAAGCAGGTTCCAGGCTCTGAGCTGTCAGCACAGAGTACAATGCGGGGCTCAAACCCACAAACCGTGAGATCATGACCTGAGCCAAAGTCAGATGCTTAACCGACTGAGCCCCCCGGGCGCCCCGGGAAATACTGGGGGAATACTGGCAGAATCGTGTGAGAATACCCTATAGCTGCACTTCCTAACATCAGTTACATACGTTTTTCTATGTGTCAAATATTATATAATGAACATTAATAAATAAATGAAGGAAAACTGTATTTCTATATCTCACAGATGCAGTAGTTAAGCCTAATCACACTTGCACACAGATGTGCACACACACACACACACACACACACACACACAATTCTTCCCCCTTTCATCACCATCTCCCACCGCCAAGAGCATCAGGGGGACCCTGTAAAGGCGAGCGTTGGGAAGGAGAGGCATGGAGAGGCGTCACCAGCCCACCTTGCCACCCTCCAGATCTTATCAGCCCCCCAACCCCGGAATAAGCCAGGAAGGAGCCCAATTCCAGAAGAAAAACTCCAAGACTGTACCAAGCCCACCAAGACAGCAGGCAAAGAAGACCCCAGCTACATGACATGGCTCAATTCCACAAATGGATATTTGTCAGCCCCTGAGCTGACACCAGCAAACACCAGGTCACCTGTTGGCCCAAGATGGAGAAAAGGACCCTTTGAACAGCACTATGCAAATACACTTCCTTGGTGCATCCCAAACATGACCAGGAATCAACATGGAGAGGAGCAGGAAATTAGTAATGTCACTAACCACAGTGTACCAAGAACCTCCCAGGGAACTGTAGGCAGAGTAGAGGCCCTGGGGGACAGGTTCCCCTTCCTCCCCCTCCCCTCCCCTCCCCTCCCCGGCACTCACCTCTGCAGCTCCTTCAGGGACACTGTGATCCGCAGGCCATGGCCCAGGATGTAGAGAGTGGCCAAGATGTCTGCCCACTGCACCATTTCCCCCAGAGGCCCGCCCTTCAGCACCCTTGGGCTGAACACGTCACCAGACTCCTCCGTCAGGAAGCCAATGTGAACAAGGATCTGGGGAGGACACAGGGTCAGCACGGAGGAGCAGCAGCTCTTGCCCCGCCGCCCCCAGGGAGACCCGGCCAGCAGCAGAGGCTGTCTCCAGGCTGTGCCTGGGCAGGCGTTTTCTGGCACCAGAAAGGGGACCAAGAGCCAGAGTGACCAACTGGGCACTGGGGATAAAAAGTGAACAAGATGGTCACACCCCACTCTCAAGGCGCTTACGTTCCAGATGGAAGAAGTAGACAACAGTAAACACAGACAAGAGATAATTTCATGAAATGATAGGGACTCTGAAAGAAATAAACAGGGTGATGTGAGAGTCAGGTAAATATTTATTGATGGATGGACGGATGGATGGATGGATGAATAATGGATGGGGGGTTGGATGGATGGATGGACGGATGGATGGATGGTTGGATGGATATGTGGGTGGGTGGATGGATGGGTGGACAAATGGGTGAATAGATGGATATATGATATCCAGATGGGGGGTTGGTTGGATGGATGGATGGACAGATTGATGGCTGGATGGGTGGACAGATGGTTGGATGGGTGGATGGATGGATGGACGGGCGGATGAACAGATGGATGGATGGATGGAAAGATGGACAGATGGATGGACAAACCTACAAATCTCCCCCAAAACAGGCTACATTATTCCCAATATTCTAGGCAAATGCCATGACTTTTCTGTCTGAAAAGCACAAGGTGTCTATGGAATGCAGAACTCCTCCGCAGTGAGGGGGAGGGTTTGTCATCCCAAACATGAAAAGAGCCAGGGGCCACCACATGCATCTATCCTGACTCTGCCTCCCCTGCCCCAGCTAAAATTCAAACAACTTCAATAACCTTTCCAAGGACAGACTCAGTGCCCACTTGTAAACCTGGGGCCCTGAGCTCACTTCCTAAGCTCTCTGAGCTCAGCTCCCTGAATGCAGAGAGAAGTGGTACCTGCTTCTGGTCCCTCCAGACGCTTCCCAGCTTCTGCGCCAGCCTCTGGGCAGCCAGTGCCCACTGGGCCGTGAGCCGCTTGGTCCGTTTCTTCATGAAGATTAGAGACTCTTTCCCACTGCCCATCAGCTCCAGGAGGTGGGACAGGTTGCTCCGGAAAACTGCCTGGAGAGAGGTCCACACCTGGGTCCTCCAGCCCTCAGCCCTCGGCTGTGCCATCACTGTCACCTGCTGCCCTGGGGACAGGGGCCGGCACCCTCCGTGGGAGGCTGGGGCCTGCTGCAGCTTCCCCTGCCCTTTGTAAAGGCCCACCAGCCCCACAGTCGGGGAGCCCTGCTCTCACCCGCCAACACTAAGCCCCTGGCCCAGCCTTCTGTCCCGAGCCCTTTGGGGGTGGGCAGCTAGGACAGTTCCCAGGGGTCTCAGCTGCGACCCGGAGGCAGCGAGGGTAGTGGTCAGAGCTGGTACTCGGAAGGCAGGAAGTCCGGGCCACCTTTCAGCGGAGCTGGAGTAATGAGGTGCCTTGAACAAGTTAACGCCACCCCCTAAACCTCAGAGTCACCATCTGTTCGATGCGGTCACATAAAGCCTGCTGGGAGGTTTAAGTACAAATAAAGTGTCTGGAAGGCTTCCAGAAGCAACAACTATTGTTACTATTATTCTTGGCCATTTAGGGGTGCCTCCGGGGCCCCAGCTTGCCCCTCAAGTAGGCCAAGCTTTGCAGCATCCCCAGAAGGTAAGACAAGCCCTGTGGCAGGCTGGGACCTGCCCCCGACCAGGCACGGCAGGCTGGCCTCACGTGGGGCTGACCCCTAAGGACGTCCCACCTGAGGAGACCAGCTGGCCTGTCCACCAGCCCCTCACGGGCCCACCCACTTCCCAGGCCTACCTGGACTTTGGGGAGGGGCTTGGGGGCCGTCCGAGCGGCTGTCTGATTCCTCCAGGGCAGCGGGGGGCAGAACCACTCGACCTCACTCAGGTAGATGAGGAAGGAGCACTCGGTGCCGTCCACCCCGAAGAAGGCGTAGCAAGGGTCAGACGTCCAGCGGGCGCGCATCCACTGCGGAGAGGGCCAGCCTAGGCCAGGGTGCTGACACCAGCCCCACCCATGCCCTCAGCAGGCTCTCGGCACCCAAGTCCTTGGGGACCCAAGGTCCCTCAGGACAGGACCTCTGGGGCTCACACTTAAAGGGGCAGCAAGGGCCAGAAAAAGAAGAGGACAATTGTACCAGGACCCCACGACCCAGCCCCGGGTCCTGGGTGCTGAGAGCCTCGCGGGAGGCCGAGCAGGGCCACCTTCCCGCAGGCCCAGAGAGAGGAAGACCCTGGGAGAATAAGGCCAGGTCACGACACACAGGGAAAAGCTCCAGGGCAAACGGTGGGAGACGCAGCAGCTCATAGTCATGGGGAACAGGATTCAGCTGAGGTCAAGATCAAGAGCAGCCTCCAAGGTCACAGGGACTGGAGTCAGAGCAGGCCCCGCCCACAGCCATCCCCCCATATCACCGAGAACAGGGTCTGCAATGCCTCCACTCCACCTTCTTAGGGAATTCAGAACCAGTGATGAGCAGGCTTTTACGCCATGGACTGCATGACTGGATGGACAGACTTCATGCAGCCACGGGCCCCTGGGGATGAGCCCCCAGAGATGGGGCTGGGGGAGGGCTTCCTCAGTTCAGCTGGTTGCCAGGGTGGGGAGGAATGGGAAGATGGGCCCACTGGAGAGATCCAGTCTCTGAATTAGTTAGGACTCAGGCTGCTGGGGGTGGCACACATATATTAACAGTTTGTTTGCTGTAAGAAAGTACTGAAAACTCCGAAATATGACTGTCCTGGGCAATCTGGGTTGGTGGGCCAGGCAGGTGGCCCAAGCAGAGAGCCACCCCCTGAAACTGGCCTCTGCCAGCTGGTGCCAGGGTCAGGGTCAGGGGGCTGGGCAGAGAAGCCCCCACTAGAGCTAGTCTGGGGCAGAGCCCTTAAAGAGGAGCCTGCGCCCCACCCCTACCCCACCCAGGTCACCTCTACCCCCGCCCTCAGTTCCCAGGCCTTACCTCCACCTTCCCTGAGCAGTCGGGGAACTTGGGGTCACTAGGCGCCTCACACTGGTCCCGCCGGCCTTCAGACACTGCAGGGAGAGAAGGTCAGCTTGTTGAGGCCCCGGGTGGGTAGAGGAGCCCCGCGGAGTGTTAGAGAGGCCTGGTCTGCGGTGGGGAGGGGTAGCTGGGGAGCCACCTGCCAGAGGGTCCCCAAGCCTGGATTTCTGCCACTAGCTCCCACTCCCCATGGGGGCTTCAGAACCAGTGAGGAGCTGGCTTGAATGCCTATGGACCAGCGCCTGGAGAGGCAGACCTCAGGTACCCACCCAAATGTCCTCAAACCTCTTCGATGGGGACCCCCAGAGATAGAAGGAGAGGGGGTCACTGGGGGACTCTAAGACCTCCGTCCTCACGCCAGGTCACAGTGGAGTGAATCCAAGTCACCCCACTAGGAGCCTGAGGCAGAAGCCAGGACAGCCGCCGTGGGGAGCGGTTGGGGCCGCTGGGGTACCGGCCCCCTGGGGGCAGAGGGGTACCCTGGCCCCCACCCTTGCTGTGGAGCAGCAGGCTGTGGTGCAGGATCTGGTCCACCTTCACGGCGATGTCCGAGACATTCTGGGCGATGGCCTGGATCCGCTCCATGAGGCCGGCCCCAGGGGGAAACCTAGGGGGTAGAAGCCAGGGGTGAGTGGCACGGCTGGGTGCGGTGGCCATCCCGGGAGGGGCTCAGCGGGGACCCAGACACTGCCCTACAAGGAACCAAACCACGGAGATGGACAAAGCTGGGCCGGCAGAGGGAAGGGCATGCCCTCCCCACCCTGGGGCTCTCTGACCACCCGCTGCACATGCCACACGGGAAAGCCCACGTGTCTGTGTCATGCATGTCTGCCGTTCACCCCCACATGCATGCGCCCTGCGTGCGGGAGGGCAGTGCCTGAGGCCGGTGCAGACAGAGGAATTCTATTCCAGAGCCTGGACGAGATTTGGCCCGGGACCCCCCAGGCAACGGAAGCCCTTTCCCGGGCATGGCCAGCTGCCCTGAGTCTGTTTCTCCATTTCCTCCCAGAGGGGCCACCCGGTGCCAAAATAAATTCCTCCCAAAGAAGCCTGGGGACTTGCCAGCTATTAAGCCTCTAGTAAATTATCACTGGGCTCCTGAGCATGAATTCTTCCCAGGATCTTAAACACATTTACTGCCACCGACATCACAGCCCTCCACCCACCACCAGGACTCGCGCGGCCTTTATTTTTGGAGAATTTATTTCCCAGTGTTGATTACTACTCGGCTCCCAGAGCAGTTTATGAGACACCAGACGCGAGCTGTGTCTCCTCGCAAAGACGTGAGCCAAGGCGGCCCCGCTCTGCCCGCCGGCACGTGGGCTCTCCCAGGCGTGGCTTGGACCTTCTCGAACTCGGTCATTCCGAGCTTTGATTCGCGCCCCGGCCTCTGGCTCTGCGGGCCCTGCTGACTGACGCTCCACTTATCCCCCGACAAGGGCGTGGGGGGGGGATGTTAGTGCTGCACAAAATGGGATTTACAGGAAGGAGCACTTGTTCAGCTTGAGTGCCTCTCGGGGGAACAGTCCGCTCGAGGGGGCACAGAGGTGACAGCTGCCCGCCCCCTGGGGCCACCCGCCCCCCCCCACTGCCTCCACGAGGAGGGGATGGCAGTGGCCCCGTCCACGGAGGGTGCAGGAGACGGGTGGGGGCAGGCAGACACGGAGGGACGGTGGCAACCAAAGGAAGAAGGCGGAAGAACCACAGCTGTGTTCTCGCAGCTCCGGAGGCCACAAGTCCGGATGGAGATGGACAGTCAAGGATGGGCTTCTTCCGGTGGGGGGAGGGGCAGGGGCAGAGCCTGAAGGAGACTCGCCCAGCCTCTGGGGACAGCCAGCCTTGGCTAGTGGGCACACCACCCGGCCTCTTGGCAGTGTGTGTATCCAAATGCCCTCATTTAAAAAAAAAAAAAAAAGTTTATTTATTTATTTTGAGAGACAGAACACCAAGCAGGCTCTGCACTGTCGGGGTAGAGCCCAATGTGGGGCTCAACCTCACAAACCTCGAGATCACAACCTGAACCCAAATCAAGAGTTGGACACTTGGGGAGGGGGGATGGGCACGGAGGAGGGCACTCATGGGGATGAGCACTGGGTGTTATGTGGAAACTAATTTGACAATAAACTATTTGTAAAAAATAAAAATAAATAAATAAATAAATAAAGAGTTGGACACTTGGGGCGCCTGGGGGGCTCAGTCAGTTCAGCGTCAGACTTCAGCCCAGGTCATGATCTCGCATTCGTGAGGTCGAGCCCCATGTCGGGCTCTGTGCTGACAGTTCAGAACCCGGAGCTGCTTCAGATTCTGTGTCTTCCTCTCGCTCTGCCCCTCCCTTGCTCACACTCTGTCTCTCTCTCTCTCTGTCTCTCTCTCTCTCAAAAATAAATAAAAATTAAAAAAAATTTTTTTAATGGAGAAGCTAAAGGCACCTCCCGGGGGAGTCTTGTGAGGCTGGAATGAGGATCTGCAGCAGTAAGAACGTCGCCTGTGGGCGATCAGCCCTGCACGTGTATCCGTCACGCCCAGGCTGCGGTGGGGCCGGCGCATGTCCGTCTTTTCTCATCATCGCTCCCAAAGGAGCCTTGGGAGACATTCTTCCCCTACTCACCCTCCTCCATGAAAAGTTAAAACCACGGGCACGCTGCCGCTCTGTTTACACAGTGAGGCCTGGGGAGGGCCACAGGCCATTGTGACGTCTCAGGTAGTTTCCCCCTCAAGAAGCAGGCTTCTCCTTTGGGGGTGAGAGGCCCCCACAGAGGACGCCTGCGTTAAGCCAGAGAAGGAATTCTACCGCCCTGGCCTCCCTTGGGCTCTGCGGTCAGGTCTGAGCGAGCGTTCTGGGGCTGCTTTCCTCGCTGACATGTGGGGCCAGGATGGACATTCCTCTGCCTGGAAGGAACATTCGGCTGACCGCAGCAGGCGGCCGGGAATTCGGAGCTGCTGGGCCAGGGTTGGGGGGCCAGGGCACAAGGGGGTGCTCCCGGGCACCCCTCCCAACTTCTAACTGAGACCCCAGAGCACAAACAACCCCTGTCAGGGGCCCAGAGACTTTGGAAGCGACCTCACCCCACTTCAAGCCTTCCTGAAGGTCCCTGTCCCTCAAGGCTGCTCCCTGGGACCTTATTTGGAAATAGGGTCCTTGCGAATGTAATTAGTTAAGACGAGGTCCTGCTGAATCGGGTCGGCCCTCGGCTCAGCCCCCGGGGTCCTAATAAAGCCACGTGGAGACACGAGGGGAAGTCGGCCACGGGACAGTGGAGCCACAGACTGGAGGGAGGCGGCCATGAGCCAGGGGGTGCCAGGAGCCACCGGGCACTAGGAAAGGCGTGGAAGGACCCCCCTGGAGGCTCAGGAAGGAACAAGGCCCCGCTGATACCCAGATCTCAGACTGCAGCCCCCAGAGCCTACAGGGAAGATTTTTGTCGTTTTAAGCCATCCAGTTCGTGGTCATTTTCTGTGGCAGCCCAAGGAAACTCATACAGAACGGAGGGCAAATCGTCTTTACTCCATCACAAAAGAAGAGTCTGGGTTCTCTTGGGCCCCTGGCGTCAGGAATTTCTCTCCAACCCATGCTCCTCTTGCTGAAGCCCCAGCGAAAGCTGCTACTTTCACGGCAGATGAAGGAAAGGTGGGGACACCCTTCACGTCTCAAGCCCTGGGCTGGCGACTCTCCACCCCATTCAGAGATTGACTGGGGAGGGCAAGGGCCTCAGAGTCAGAGGTCATGGATTCGAATCCTAACTCCATCGGACCGCTGTGTGACTTTGGGCAAATTACCTAACCTCTTGAACTCAGGGGTCAGCTCCTATAACAGCTGAATAATCTCAACTACCTCGAGGGGTGATGCGCAAGAGTAGACATAAAGCTCAATATCACGTGCTCAGCGATGCTCAAGATGCCTTTATTCCCTATCTGCAGAGTCACCCGGTCCCCAAAAGGAAGTATCAGAAGTCTTTTTTTTAAAGAAGTGCTACTTAATTTATTCATTTAATCAACCCCAGTTCAAATTTTTTTAATGTTTTATTTATTTCTGAGAGAGAGAGAGAGAGACAGCATGAGCAGAGGAGGGGCAGAGAGAGAGGGAGACACAGAATCTGAAACAGCTCCAGGCTCTGAGCTGTCAGCACAGAGCCCAGCGCGGGGCTCGAACCCACGAACCATGAGATCATGACCTGAGCCGAAGTTGGACGCTTAACTGACTGAGCCCCCCCAGGCGCCCCGGAAATATCGTAAGTCTGACCACAGAACAAAGCACTTCACTTTTTGGGGGATTTTCATACGATAAACGTTTCTCGGGCAACATCACTAGGAGGGGCTTTAAATAGTGCAGTTGGGGCTGTGATTTAACAAGCCCAGACTTGGAGTCACTGCTATAATACTGGATTTCGCATGTGGGTTGCACTTTCATTTCTTTTTTTAAATTTTATTTTATTTAAGAGAGAGAGAGAGAGACTGGGCGGGAGAGAGGGGCAGAGGGCGAGAAAATCTCAAGCAGACTCCACAGTCAGCTCGGAGCCCAACGCGGGGCTTGATGCCACGACCGTGGAATCGTGACCTGAGCCGAAATCAAGAATCGGATGTTCAACCGACTGAGCCACCCAGGCACCCTGGCACTTTTATTTTCAAATAATATATAATGGGTCTTGGAGCGCCTGGGTGGCTCAGTTGGTTAAGCGTCCGACTTCGGCTCAGGTCATGATCACACGGTTCATGGGTTCGAGTCCTGCTTTGGGCTCAGTGCTGACAGCTCAGAGCCTGGAACTGCTTCAGATTCTGTGTCTCCCTCTCTCTCTGCCCCTCTCATGCTTGCACTCTGTCTCTCTCTCAAAAATAAACTTTAAAATATTAAAAAAATATATATATATATGATTAGTCTTCTCTCCCTGGGAAGCTCCTAAAAAACGACAGTGAATGTAGGTGCCGTGAAACCATAGCCCACAGCAGGGCCACAGCCTCGGAAACGCCTAAGTGCAGAAGAAAAAGGGGGGAAGGACCAGGACATCTGAGCGCAAGGGCGTTCCAGTGATGGGGCCCCCGGCAACTCTCTGGACAACATCAGGATTCCTTCTAAAGGTCCCATTGCACAGAGAAAGAAACCAAGGCACAGCAAGGCTGAGTTACTTGCTCAGGGCTACACAGCTATTAAGTGGAAACATCAGGTACCAGTTCACCAGCAAGGGGTCTGTGCTCAAGGGTGGGCACGGGGGGGGGGGGGGGGGGGGGGGGGGGGGGGGGGGGGGGGTGGGGGGTGAGGGGGGCGGGGAGGGGGAGGAGGATGTCAGGACCAAGGCCATCACCTAGGGAGTGACATCACTGGGGTGGGACCCTCAGCACCACCTCCACTAACGCCCCGCCCCCGCAGGTGGTATCGCAGAAAGCACGTCCCTGTCAACATCAACCCTGACCCCGAGGGCCTGTCACCAGGTACAAACCTGGAAAGGTGTGTGCCCGGCAGGGGGATGGAGGGGCCCCCACGTCCACGGCCCCTCCCACCCCGCCGCCCAGTCTTCCTCCTGCTGGTGCTGGTGCGAGTGACAGAGGGCTTTTTAATCCCTCCTACTTGGTGCACATTTTTATTCCTTTCCTTTTTTATCTTTGGTGTGTGCA